TGAATACTCGTCAAAACGGACAATTCAACATAATTTTGTGTGTAATTCTCCGTTCATGCGACGCGAAAGAGTACTCGCGCGCTGCGAGACGCGCTTTCTGTGTGTGTATGCTTCAGTGTCTGCGCTCAGAAAACCGGAACGAATTGAGCACTCTCTTGCGTCGTCAGATTTATTTGTGTGTCTGCTCTTCTCTTAATCGCCACATATTGATATTTTTGAACGTTTTATGCTACGTGCAGCAAGTGTATTTTAACTTATGTCCCGCCGGTTCATATGTACGCATCTAACCTCCTATGCAGCAGTTTCGTTCTGAATGAATTTCATCCCAAATCGTCCCTCCCCAACATTTTCGTCTCGTTTTTATTAGTTGACGAAAATGTCAATTTATTTTCGTCATAGTTTCTGTCATTCAAAAAGAGTTTTAGTTCGTTATCGTCTCGTTGTCGTCAGTGAAAAAAGTCATGACGAACATTATGACGAAAATTATTCGTCAACGAAATTAACACTGATGCAAATAAATGCAGCAGGTTCAATTAGTTTAGTGAATTCTACCCTACGGTTTGTTGGATTCATCACTATTAAATGGTTTACTATTTGTTTATGTGCTCTACCTGTTCTTTCTTCACTTTCTTTTTTGGCACTGGTTCCACACTCTTCTCCGACTCAGAACGGCTTCGCACAGACCGGCGCTGCTGCTTTCTCTCTGATATCACACAGACACAGAGGACGTTTTCACAGATTAGATTTATACTGCAAAGGACATCTGAATACCGTTGCAAAAGGGAGTTTAACTCCAGTGAATAACTCTGTGTTTGCGCTTATATATACCTGTGGATTGCTCCGCACTCTCCTGGTCACTCCAGGCTGAGGGAGACGCAGCTCGCTCTTCTTCACTGGAACACGTCTCTGCCTCTGCCTTATCACTGGAGCCCTTTGTGGGATAGATTGAGAAACATAAAAAAAAAACAAAAAAAAAAACATACCAACAGCTGCTTGGCAGAAAAGGTGCAATTTCTTCTCAAGCAGCATGCAATAAAGAGAGAGAGCAGAGCCCTATTTTTAGGTTAGCTAGCTGCAGCTGATCTTAGTAATTAACTTTAGGCAGTAAGCTATAATAGCTTAACATGTACATTAACCAAACTAAATACATTATAGAGGATAAATAAAATTTCAGAGAATTTGTGACATTAATTTTACCTAACCTGCAAGTTATTATGCAGCATAGTTATCATCTAGTTAGCATACCCTGGTTTAAATGAGCCAGACAGGAAAGCTAGCTAATACTGGGAAATGTGAGTGCAAAATATACACGTTTACAACAATACTAAATACACTCATATACAATTAGTACACTATTTACACTAGGATACAAATAGCATTCAGTGTAATTTTAGTATTTTTGTACCATTGTAGTATTTATTAATATTTTCCATTTTTTGTGCTTGTCATTTTTATTAGTTTTTTTTTGTTTTTAAATATTTATATTCCTCTCTTTTTACTTCAATTTTAGTTTGAGTAATTTTAGTAATTCAACTTCTAGCTTTCCCAAGTTTAAGTTTTTCCATCTAATATTTCTGTTATTTTTTCAGCTTTATTTTAATTAACAAAAATTAAAGTTAACTAACAACACATCATTCTGTATATGCAGTTATAGAAATGAGATATAAATTTAAGCAGCAGTAAATTTAAGCAAACTCCATTTGATCAATTTCATTAAGCATTTTACTTCATTGCAAAGAGTGTCACTTGTGGGCAACTACATTTTTGATCTGAGAAACTGTAGCTATTAAAACATTTTTTAAAGATCTTTCAGAGTTTCTTTGATTTAGCTTTTCTTCACAAAACTGTCATGACAGTGATCGATGCTGCAATTACATTATTTACAATACAAATATACACACTCCCTTAAGTTCACTAGCATTTTTTAATTTCTACCTCAGGTGACTGAACCTGATCGCTGGGCCTCTCCTCACTCTCCATCTTCTTAGGTAAGTCCAACTTTTGCTTTGGGAGCTGCCAGTCACATTTGATGATCTCCACGTTTAGTTTCTTCATAGTAATGGAGAGTGGGAGGAGCTTGCGGGCTGCGGCGGTCTTCCAGGGTGTCCTGACTGGAGGTGGGGAGGGTTCCTCGGGGTGGGTGTCAGGTTTTGCAGGGCTGTAGGGTTGCTCTTGGTCCATATCATCCTCTCCCTGATTGGGAGATGATGTTTCTCCACTACTATTGATGCTGCACTGCCTCCGTGGCTGCTGCCGACGAGGTATGTGCTCTTCTTTCGCTCCAGCACTGCCTTTAGAGCGTCTCTGCTTGCGTTCGGGGCGGTTTTTACTGGTCGCCCTAGGTGAGGTCACAGTGTCAGCAGCAGGAGCAGCAGCAGCAGAGCTGGGTTCCTTGTCAATGTAGATGAAGGTGTAGTTCTCATTGCGTTCTTCTCGTGTCATCTGCAGAGCGGCTTCTGCGTGACCCACACCCACTTCCCATTGGGCACGCTCCTTCTGGGACTGAGGCTTCAGCAACTTTAAAATAAATAAACCAGAGATCAAGTAATCAGAAATGTCCACAGAAAGATGGTCACCACATTTGAAGGGGTACAGCAGGATACCTTTTGTTTCTCAGTTGGGTTGGTTGCTTTCCGGAGTGTTTCTGCTTGCAACTCCTCGAACTGGCTCTCACCCTTGTACACCACAATTCTCTTCTCATGGATCCAAGCCCTCTCAGGGACACTCCCGAAGAACTGCACGTGGTATTCCTTGACACCTACCAGGAACCATGGAAGCAAGTTATTAGAAACATAAATTTGAAGCAAGAGAGTAGAAATACCAGCTAAAAGCTGGAATACAAAACACAATTTTCCCCAAATTGTTCCCTGACTTGCAACATGGATGAGATTAGATATTGAGAAAATCAGAGCCATTCTGCAGATTTTAGGCGATCAAAGTTGATGATGCACATCAGACTCCTGATTCTAAAAGTTCTAAGAGTTTTATATTTTGAACTGATTTTAAAACACGTTTTGATTTGCGCACCAGAATGGTTTTCTGCATGAATTTGTTGTGATTGGAACAATTAGAAAGTCTGGTACTTTCTAATCCTCAGCCATTTAGTGTATGATTCCCAGTTTTTCCTCTGTAAGGCCACGTGTCCACCAAAGCATTTTTAGCGAGCAGAAAACGGCAGGCGCTCTGCTAAAAACGCACAGCTGAGAGCGCAGCATTTTTTTTCGTTGAGACGCTGTCGTTGCTATGATACGGAATATCCACTGAAGTATATGGCAGATTAGTCCCACCCCTCCTCCACTGTGATTGGTTAGCTGACTGAAAAGTGACAGTGATGAGCGCAGTGTTTTACCCAAAGTTGAACATTCTTCAACTTTCAGCACCGAGAAAAAAACACCCGAACGCTCAGCGCAAAAAAGATGCTCAAGCACTTGGCATGCTCCTGGCATTTTAAAAAACGCGGTGCTCCCATTTAGAACAACTGAAAAAACACACCAGCCTCGTGAAATAATGCTTTGGTGGACACGCAGCCTAAATGATTTCAAAGCCAACAAGTGTGTAACACCTAGCGTTTTAAAATCTGCTCTGATTTTAAATAGCGTCTAGAGTATTCCAGCCATAAAAATACACACTTGTAGTAGATGAATTACCTCTTTTATTAAGTCGTATATGAACATTTGACTGAGGGTCTGATGACACCATGCATGGCCACCAAGGATACGTCCCAACCTTTGCCCACACCAAGTCACCGATCTCGTACTCTTGACAAGAGCCGGTGCTAGTGATGACCGAAGGAAAGTGCTTTTCAACCTAAACAAGAACACAAGATGGTCTTGGATGAACTGGAACTGATCAGATCTCATCAACCAGAAATTCTCAACACTTTTCCACATCTTCTGAAGTGAAAAGGGCTACAAACATATGAAGAATATTAAACTCACTTTCTGTTCCTTCAGTTCTGCTTTGGGGCTTTTGAGGGTCACAGAAGGTTGCTCTTCTCTGAATGTGACATGACCTTCGTTGGGCTGTGAGGAGTTTCGAACCACCCCTGAACGCTCCTCTACTTTGCATGGCTGCTGGCTCTCTTCTTCTTGACAAGCACCATGTCTGCTGCTTCTCTTTTTCCTCTTTTCCTTCTTTTGCTCATGTCTTCTTCTGGAAGCCTCGCCGGCCTGAAACTCTTGCAGCAGATCCCCGCACAGTGAGGACTCGAACAGCTCCCTGCCATTCTGGTAGGTCTTAATGATCTTTATTTTGATCTCTGGGGAGCTGGTCTTTTTGGGAGTGTTGGTGGATTGTGCAATGGGGTTGGAGACGGTGCTTTGTTGAGGTGAAAGGAGGGGCGGTGAAGAGGGCAAGAGCAATGGAGGAGGGGGTGGCAAGACTTGAGGCATTAGGTGAGAAGCAGGAGGCGGATGATGGTGGTGAGGTAACAGTGGTGGGTTTTGTGGATGGTGTTGCTGCTGCTGCTGATGGTGGTGATGGTGAGGAGGATGATGAGGCTGGTGGTGATGATGGGGATGAGGTGGAGGTGAGATGTGGCTTGGAGGCTTCTCCTGGACCACTGGTGGTCTCAATACAGTGCCTTCACCAAGCAGCAAACCGTGATCCCCATAGTTTCGTATGGCGCCGTAGCCATTAGCTGAGCCATTGGGGAACTGAGAGTACAAGGCAAACTTGGCCTGTTGCTCATAGGTACCTACGCCTGTCGGGTAGCCGTTTGTAATGACTGGGAGGTCTTCAGCAGGGTAAGGAAAGCCTGACTCCAAAGGAGACTCAAAGTTTTGCTGTCCTCCATCATCTCCTGGGTCACTGATGGCTTCATAGACATCCTCCTGTCTGATGTTAGCGGAGTCAATAAGCTGAGGGGGTTGCTGAATTGTGTTTCCCATGATCCCTTGCATGAAAGAGAAGGAGAAATCCATTGTTCTGCTCCAGCATCCTTAAGTTTCCCTTTTTCTTACAGGGCCTGCTGAGATATTGAGGAAAAACAGATAGAATGTGTTTATGACGCATAAAAAATGTCACCTCATTTCATCACATTTGTGAAAAATTGCTCAGAGAAAAAATGTTTAATAGCTTTGTGTATAAAAACATGGGTCAAAAATGTGATTAATACTATGCACAAATGAGTTTGCAGTACTTCTGCAACACTGCAAATCTCCCTCCCAGGGGATAAATTAAGTTTACTCCACTCCAAGTTAAGCCAACGTTCCCTAATTCTTGAGAAGAAACTTCATGCAACATTTAGGCTGAAATTACACAGCCTTGCTGGATAAGATTTTTAGTCAGAATCAAGCATGTTAAATGCCATGTTCCTCATGAAACATCCTCTCTCCTTCTTATATAACAACAATGCCTGCTTTATCGCAGTTCCTATTTCATTTAATAATCTTTTGAATTTTGAGTTTCTCTCCCTTTAATTATAAGTATGGCTATGCCAGCTGGTCATTAAAAGAAATATTTGCCATCAAAGCAGTGTTTATTTGGTCTATTTTGCTTGTTTCGTCGGTCTAGTAAGAAAAGATGTAAAACAAGCCGTTAAAGACTTTCATTTAGCACATGAACCACATCACTCAATGCCACAGAACAACAGACTACTGTTTCTAAACCAACTAATCTAAAAAATTGTTTCATGTCAAAGAAACAAACCTGCAATGACCAGCAGCTGGCTAACATTAGCCTGCTAGCCTTTTCTGGATAACAAGACATACCCGATATAATAATATTACCATGTATAAACACATACAACTTAATAAAAATGCTATATAGCCCACGAATAAACTAAACTAACTCTTGTGTAGTTCAAACAGATCCTGTTTTCGCAACAGCCTTGTAAAGCGAACCCGTGTAATGTCGCTGCATTATATGAAAGGCGGCGTTAGCGGATGTGCTAATGTGTGTACATGGGGAAAACACCAACGCACGTACTTCTAAGGTTTACCACCATGGAATTTTCCAAACACACATTTTGTTTCAAAATTGTATGTTTCTTGGTAGATTGGATCATGCGGAGAACCACAAAAACTGAAGAAGTGAATGTGAACATGCCAACATGGCTGCCCGTGCCCCTTTAAATCAAATCGGCCAGATTACATTTCCATCAGGATAAGGTGTGATGAAAACCAATGCTTTATTGTTATCAAAAACAGAAATACATGCAGCGCTCGTTTGGATTCAACGCGATATTATGAAACGAAGCATCGAAACAACGGTAGAATAAAAGCGTCTGTACCTTCAGCGTGTTCCATTCTAAACAAAAACACCAAACAAACTGGATTCCCGCTGCAGTTAACATAAATATATCAACACAAAGACCTATGACTCCACGTTTCTTAGATCTAATCCGGTGTATGGGGAAAAAATGGGGCTAGATCAGTCGTATGTCGATCCCCATGATAGGATGTATGGCTGTAGAATCGGGAGAGGCCCCGTTTTTTTTTGCGGGATGCTCCTGCAGACCCAGGGAAACTTGGCTCCCATATATTTTATTATAGCCGTCTCCCTCCCTCTAGCTGTAACAAAAGCCCCTCTGCTTAAGGCCTGTGTCTCAGCGCCAAAATAAAATCTCCCCCATTGGCTGTGCTGCATGATGTGAGGGGCATGTTGGGACGAGTAGTTTTTTCTTCTTATAATTACAACATAATTACAACAATATTATTGCTTGACATTAAAGCATAAGATGTGATCAATGTATTACAGAGAATAATTCTATATATACAATTATTATATAATATATATACACACACAATAAAAAACCATGTATGTAACAAATAATTGTTAAATATAATAAAAATAATAAAAATAGTTTTCGAAAAATAGCCAAATTCTACTTCGACCACGTAATAATAACAACAATAAACAATATGTATTTAACTTGATATCATAAAAACAATATCATTATTGTGTTTTCCAAAAAATAGTCAAAAACTACTTCAACCACGAAATAAATAAAAACATAAATAAATAAATAAATAAATGTGTGTGTATATATGTATTTAAAAGTAAAATGTTTGTAAAATTAAAACTAAAAACTAAAAATAAAGCTAGATAAAACTAAAGATAGATGATATAGAAAGATAAAACATATTGTCAATGGTTGTCAAAAAATAGCACTTACAACCCACATTAATACTCTCTTAACATGTGCTTTATTCATTAAACGAGGCCTACAGAAATAATAATTACCAGTGTAACATTACAGCAATTGTTTAATTATTCTGGGCGTTTCATAAACATTATATTTTAGTAAAAATGAAAATAAGAACAAAACAATGTTATTAGGGTACTATGTTCCTTCCCTGTGGATCTCAAGCGAAGTTAAACTGAATAATAGCGCCATCGTCTGCACAAGTACCTAATAATAACAACCATATAAAACGCCTTGCTACTCCACCACTGTTCTGGGCACTGTAATTTTGACTGTTGCCATGACAATTCTGAGTTACAACTGAACTGAAATCAGCAGGTGTGGAAGCTCATCTGTCCTCTTCATCACGGACGGATGAGGTCATGGGAAGTTCCACTGTCCGCCCCGTCCAGCGGATTGGCCAGCGTCACTAGTGCGTACAGCTCGCTCATTGGCTTATGTGGCTGTCAATCACGCCTCACCCCTCATCGGATGATCCTCCTCAGTAGGACTGTCTGGAGCACCGGAGGCAACCTGACAGGCCGTTTCAAATCCGATCACAACAATACATCACCACGGATGTATTAATTTATATGTCAATTTAGATTTAAACGTAAGGAGCGACATACCATCGTGAATGGAGTATCTCATCCCGCAAAAGGTCCGTTTTTCACCCATACCATCGCCTCCGAGGAAATTTGACCCTCAGCTGCAGGAGGAGCGCTGTCGAGCCGGACATTTTTCTCCACCGTTATATCTGACACCATATCCAATGAGTACAGCCTAACAGCCGTCACCCCGCACGACACGGGCCTTTTCGACAGGTTGGTAACGTTAGATGTTTAATCGTGTTTCGAGTTGTTAAATGCTCGATATGTTTTTTTTTAGACCAGCTCGATCCTTTGGCTTTCATCTGTTGTTTTTTAACCGTTTAACTTAGCCACCGCTCGCTGTTAGTTGTACATTAACGAAAGTAAAACAAAAGAACTGTCCGATCGCTTTTCTCTAAAGTTGATCGATGTCGTGTCGACTGACGTAGAAAAGCCTCTGTAATAGATGTAAAGTTGTGCTGCTATTGAATGCGGAGTGTTTTGAGGTGGTGTATATCTGCGGGCTCTACTGTGGCCTTCTGCGCCTGTCATTAAAAACTTCACTGTTTTGACTTACTCGCACCACTTTTATATAACAATTTAGACGTTTAAAAAGTTTAAACTTTCTATGAGTTATAATAAGAAAGTGGATACTGCAGTTTATGTTGACGTACGCATAAAATAAAGTAATAGCACTTGAATAATTACGGGGTCTGTGTCATAATGACCAAGTAAATAAATATGATATAACGTTTAAACAATTTACCTGTTGTAATTTGAGGCAAACTTTCGGTTGAAATGAAACGTTCCTTGTATTGTCGTTAAATATGGCCTATGACTTTGACAGGTTCCGTTTGTGTTCTGTTTTAGCAACGCAAGCGGCGAAGATAAGCACGTGAGTCAGTATCTGTGTGCAGTGCTCGCGACCGGTGTAGCAGTCGATTCTGTTCCCCTAGGAATGCCTGTTTCCCTTTACGCAACCATACTACAATTCTTACGTAGTTGCCTAGTTACCATACGTACGATCAGAACTAGCGTGCGCAAGAAGCACAACTGGATGTAAGGCAAGTCAAATGGTTCAAAATACCGTCTTTAATCCGAAACTTTAAAATAGTTTTAAGAAGAGAGGTTTTTCAACTTGAAATTTATTTCCTTTTTTTTTT